ATGGTGATGAATACGTGCGTCAACCTCCGTTGGGTGATCGAGCGGTGCAGTGCCGGATTCTACGATGTTGACGAACTCTGCATCTTTTTGTTCCATAAATTGGATAAGTATGGTTTCGATATGGAGATCAAAGGCATGCATGTTGAAGCTGGTGAATATGAGTGAGAATTTTGGCCCTGATGCTTGATCTCGCCGAGGACTTCACGAAGAAAACCAATCTTCCATATCTTTCAATAGAGTGCGAATCTCTCCTGCGCCGGGCCTATGTGAACATCATTCTGGAGGGCGAGAAAGAGAAGCGAAAGGAGCTTGCCGACCTCTATATCGAGACACTTACTGATGTGGTGATAGAGCAAAGCTTCGAAGATATGACTCCGGAAGAAATCCGAAAGACTGTTGCAGCTTATGCCGAGGAGAAGGCTAAGATAAAGAACTAAGAGATCGGAGAAGTCGAAGTCGTACCCGAAGTGGATGAAGTGCCAGGGGATGCGACCGATCCCCGACATGAGTTTGTCCCAGTGTCTAACGCAACTATTGACGTGGCGGCAAGAGCTAAAGAAGTTGTCGTACTGGAGCATCTTCAGGATCAGCTGTTGGCGACTACGGCTGGCCTGGATATCGGAGAGAGCAGCGATGTCGGCTAAGGTGAAAAGGATAAAGAGGATGCTGCCTGAAGTTTTTGAATTTTTATGTTTTTAAATATTTTTTACGTTTCGGTATTTAGCTGGGGTGTCAGCATGTTGACATCTTTAGTAGGGAGTTGTAAGGGATTTCCCGACTTTAGGATATAAATGACTATTTTTGCATTATTTCAAATCTGTTTATGTTGTTGTGCAAATTCAGCAATTTTAAGACCAAGTGTGATGAGCTAGGAAAGTATGTAGGATCAACATTTTAACTCGGTTTTAATTTGGGAAAAGTAGTTAAACATAATATGTTAATAACGCATTAAGTTTAAAAACCGAGCTATAAGGTTTTTCCGAGCACAACTTGATCTTGATTATAAATTTGGTTTGAAATATAAACCGACTTGCAAGCTGTTAAAAAACTTGCTAAACTCGTCGCTGTTCACACTGCGTTCGAGTTCAAAATAGGTTCACCGAACTTCGTCACAGTTCAATTATGGAATGGCCCCAACCGAGTTATATGGTGTATATTTGGTTGTTAGTGGGGCCCGTCAAATCATGCTAGCTGAAGTGACGTGGACGAGCTTTAGCCCAACCAAACCATACGTGGGGTTTGGATGTATTACAAGGCTTCATCAAAACCGAGTGTCATAATGTTTACATCGGTACAAGATATTGATAAAACCTAGTGTCAAAATGTTTACATCAGTGTCGGGCTGTTGCTCGGATTCATAAGTGAAAGTCTTCAAACTTCATTACATCAAAAGAACGACTTCATTCCCTCATAGGAGCAAAAGGAGGATTCGTCAAAAGGAAAGTCTGCTGCATGACTTCTGGTGATTCACTGATAAAACTTTTTAAGAACACAACATTCCATGGATATTGATGAGGAGTTCCATCTGGATGTTCAATTCGGTATGCTCCGTGGGGCAACACTTGAATGACCTTAAAAGGTCCTTCTCACTTCGGTTTAAACGGGCTGGGGTCATGCCCCATGATTCTTTTGAGAACCAGATCTCCAACTCGGAACATGCGAGGTTTGAACTTGGAATTGATATACCTCTCGCTTCTCTGTTTGTAAGCAGCATTTTTGAGTTCGGCCCGGGTACGAAATTATTAAAGTAGGTCTAGATTCACTTTTATGTTGTCCGAGTTGAATTCTTCGGCGTAGTTTTGAATTCCGTAAGTTGGCGTACCGAGTTCAACCGGGACGACAGCCTCTGAACCGTATGTTAGCGAGAAAGGTGTTTCGCCCGTGGAAGTTCTTGGGGTTGTCTGATATGCCCATAAAACGTGTAGCAATTCTTCCGGCCAGGCCCCTTTTGCAGCGTCAAGGCGGACTTTGAGACCATTTTTAATGAGCTTGTTGACGGCTTCGACCTGATCGTTTGACTGTGGGTGATAAAGCGAAGAGAAAAAGTGTTTGATTCTGTATTCTTCGCAAAGGGAGTCGAGCTTCTTTCCTTCGAATTGTCTGTCGTTGTCGGTAACAATAGAATTCGGAACTCTGAATCGGCAGATAAGTGACTTCCATATAAAATCCATGACTTTCTGCTCGGTGATCGTGGCTAAAGGTTATGCCTCGGCCCATTTTGTGAAATAGTCAACAACGACAATGGCAAATCGTACGTTTCCTTTCCTGGTTGGCAGGGGGCCGATGAGATCAATCCCCCATTTAGCAAAGGGCCAAGGACTGTAAACCGACTTGAGGACTTCGCGAAATTGATGTACGTTAGGTGCAAAAACTTGGCACTTCGAGCATTTACGTACCCATGCTGCGGCATCTGCTTTTAACGTCGGCCAATAATACCCTTGTCGTAAAATCTTGTACGACAAAGCCTGTGCACTGGGGTGAGTTCCGCAAATTCCTTCGTGCACCTCTTCAAGAACATACCGAGATTCGGATTTGGTCAAGCATTTCAGAAGTGGGGCTGAGTATCCTCTTTTGAACAAAGTTCCGTTGTCCAGAGTATACCGAGCATCTCGGACTCAGAGCGCCTGGGCTTCTTTGGGATCCTGGGGTAAGGCCCCGGTTTCTAGGTATCGAATGATTGGATCCATCCAAGTTGGAGGCTTTTGAGATGAAGTTGAGTCGACAGCCAGGACTTCGTAAGAATGTGTCGACGGTTGTTCCTGTTGACCGACTTGAACGTACTCCGCACTTTCCATCCCGGTGCTTGAAGCTAGTCGGGACAGAGCATCCGCCTTCACATTAAGAGTCCGAGGGATATGTTTGACTTCGACGGAGAATTTCGACAACTTCTGTATCGTCAAGGACTAGTAGGGTATCAACCAAGGTTCTTTGACTTCGTATGATCCATTGATTTGGTTTACCAAGAGCTGCAGAGAAAACTTTGAGATACTTGACGTTTATAAACTCGGCTAAGTTCAGTCCAGATAATAAAGCCTCGTATGCAGCTTCATTATTGGTGGCAGGAAAGAGAAATTTGACCGAATGGCAAAATTATCTGTTTTCGGGATCGGCTAAAACTATTCATGCGCCTGCTCAGTTTGCCGTAGAAGATCCATCGATGTAGAGAACCCACAGTTGGTCGTTACTGTGTGCTTCTACAGCCGGTGTGAATTCGGCGATGAAGTCAGATAAAACTTGAGCCTTGATCGCGGTCCTCGGTTGATAGTGGATATCGAACTGACCGAGCTCCAGAGCCCATTTGATCATCCGTCCCGAAGTGTCGAGTCGATGCAAGACTTTTCGTAATGGATACGAGGTACGAACAGTTATGGAGTGTTCTTGAAAATAAGGCCGTAGTTTCCGAGCAGCAGTGACAAGTGCGAAAGCGAGCTTCTCCATAGGAGGATAGTGAAGTTCAGCATCATATAGGGCCTTGCTGATGTAGAAGATAGATGCTTGTTGTGCCCCTTATTCTCGTACCAGGACGGCACTGATCGCTGTGTCGCTGACTCCGAGGTACAAGAACAACATCTTCTCTAGACTCGGTTTCTGCAACGTCGGAGAACATATGAGAGTCTCTTTGGTACTGACGAGAGCCTTTTGACATTCTTCGGTCCATTCAAAACATTTTCCTTTCTTGATGGCCTCAAAAAAGGGTTTACAGCGATCGGTGGACTTGGAGACGAACCGATTAAGCGCGGCAAGTCGGCCGGTTAGAGCCTGGACGCCTTTGACCGAGGTCGGTGGGGTTAAATCTTGAATTGCTTTGATCTTGGCAGGATTAGCTTCAATTCTTCGTTGACTGACCATGTAACCGAGGAACTTTCCGGACCTGACCCCAAAGGTGCATTTCTTGGGATTTAGGACCATGGAATAAGACCGAAGAATATTAAACATTTCTAGGAGATGCATTACGTGGTCCGAGGCGTTCACCGATTTGACGAGCATATCGTCTACATATACCTCCATGGTATGACCGATTAGAGTGGCGAACATTTTGTTAACCAGACGTTGGTACGTGGCTCCGACATTTTTTCATCCGCAGGGCATCATGGTATAACAATGTAGACCTTGGGCAGAGTAGAACGAAGTGTGTTCTGAATCTTCGGGATCCATGGGAATTTGATTGTAGCCCGAGTAGGCATCCATAAAATTCATCAACTCATGGCCCGAGGTGGCGTCAACCATATAATCAATGTGCGGAAGTGGATAACTATCTTTCAGGCACGCTTTATTCAAATCTGAAAAATCTATGCACAATCGCCACAAGCCGTTGCTCTTTTTCACGAGGACGGGATTAGACACCCAAGTCGGATACTTGGCTTCTTTAATAAACTTATTGTCCACGAGTTTTTTGACTTCTTCCTCCAAGGCTTTTTGACGATCTGGCCCTAGCTTTATTTATTTCTGAACGATGGGTTTGACAGTACGATCAAGATTCAGCTTATGGCTGGCAACACCGGGGTCAATTTCTTTCATATCTTCATGTTTCCATGCAAAGACATCGGGATTATTCTTGAGAAATGAAATGAGTTCTGAGCGAACGGGTTCTTGGAGGTGACTCCCAATACGTAATGACTTTTGATACGCTGGTTCGTCGATGAAGATCAGCTCTGTTTCTTCTCTAGGTTCGGCTCGATCACTTCAGCTCTTTTCCTTGAACTGAGTTCGGGGATCTAATTCGTTTTCTTCTCGGACAGGTTCCTTTCCGGGTCGTCTTCCTCGGTCCTCTATTAAAGGCTCCGAGGTAAGGGGGACTTCGGTTTCAGGATTTGGCACCTCGGTCATCGCATTTCCCGAGGTGGTCGTCGGTTGGGAATTTTCTTTGTCGACCAAAGTAGTCGAGTGAACACCGGTGGGTGGCATGAACGTGATAAGCTCCCGAGTTTCCCTTTGATCACCATAATGAGTGCCTTCTCCGTGCGTCGTGGGGAAGTTGAGCGCGTAATGAAAAATAGAACCGGCAGCTCGGAGTTTGTACAAGGCGGTTCTTCCAATGATGGTGTTGTATTTGTTGTTGATATCTAGAACTTTGAAAGTTTCCATGACAAGTTTCGTGACGTGTTCAGACGTACCAAATCGGATGGGTAAAGTAATCTCACCAATAGGTCGGGAGGTACTCCCGTTGAACCCTTGTATTTGATCATTGCAAGGTCGAATGTCTGCGGGGTCAAGACCCATTTTATCAAAGGCTTTCAGCATCAGAATACTTGAATAGGTCCCAGTGTCAACCACAACATGGTGGACTGAAATTCCGCATATCGGAACAGTAATGATAAGAGCGTCGGAATGAGGATGTGCAAAGTGGTTTGCGTCCTCCATGTTGAAAGTAATGGGGAAATTCCGGGCATTAATAACATCTCGCAAATCAGTGGTGAAAACTTGCTTATCCGAACTGTGGGCCTGTTGAGCGTAAGCTTTGATTTGACGACGAGATGACACAACTCGGGAATTATTGGTGTTTACTCGGTGGACGGTGATTTGTGTCGGACTGAGAGATCGACTCCTTTTAAGTCCTCGAGAGTTCCCGGTTGAATCAACATTAAACACCTCCGAGGTGAACATAAATACTTCTTTTTCTCCTTGCCGAATTCTTTTCGGCATGGTACCTCGCTCTTCATCCTCATCATCATCATAGGGCTTAATTTGACGTCCTACCCCTGGTTTCCGAACATCGGTGTTTCGATATAATTTCTTGAGTTGTGGATGTCTGATTAAACGTAATAAGGCGGCTAACAAACTGAGGCACTCATCAGTGTTGTGTCCCGGCGATTTATGATAATCGCAGTATTGCGATTTATCCAACTTGTGCTCAGGCATCCGAAGTGGTTTCGGTTCAGGCAGAATGCCTTTCCCTTTGATTTCTTCGTAAATGATAGCGGCCCCAGCTGAATAGACGGTTTGGTATCCTGATTTTACGTCGTTAGCGTATTGCTTTCCGGCCGCTCTGACTTCGGGGTCATTGGCGTCTTCCGAGGGATAACCTCGGAACTGAGACTTGTTCTGTTTTTCAAAGGACCTGTTTTTCTTCTTGTCGTTGGTTCTCGACTTGGACGACTTTGGGTTAAAATTAAAATCAGGGACCGACATCGCCTCCTCGGCAATAATATGTTGCTGAGCTCGGGCGAGGAATTTCTGGAAGGTATTTGGCTTATTCTGGCATAGTGTCCAACGAAAAATGGAATTTGGTTTCAACCAAGCGATTGCCATGACGAGCAGGGTTTCGGGGTGACATGGTTCCATGTTTTGAACTCGGTCATTAAATCGAGCAATATAATCCTTGACACTTTCATCATCCTTTTGAGTTACGTTAGCGAGATATTCCTTTGGAACTAAACAAACTTGGGCCCCTATGAAGTGAGATCAAAAGGCCGACCTCAACTGTTGCCACTTCCAAATAGAATGAGGAGGCAAGGAATGATACCATTTTTTAGCTCGGGGCCCCAAGGTAAGAGAGAAAATGCGGCACCGAAGTGCATCCGAGGCTCCATGGAGATCCATCCACGAAGTGTAGTGACCGAGGTGGGAATTGGGATCCGACGTCCCATCGTACAGTCCAATTTGAGGGACTTTGACTTTCCCTGGTACAGGTTCCGAGGTGAGCTCGGGCGTTAAAGGGCAGTCGGCTTCCAAATATACTTGCGCCGAGGTAGAGGCTCGTCGAGGAGGATCTTCTTGTACTCTCTGTCGACTCTCCAGTTCGGCAATTCTTCGCCGTAAAGCTTCTAATTCGGGGGATTCTTGGTGAGCTGAGCAATTTCTTTCTATATGCTGATGGAGATCTGCCTGTGCCGAATTGGAATGGGCTCGCGGTTGTGTAGGCGGCAGAGATCGCCGAGGTTGTCCAGATTGACTCTCGGCAGTTTCTTCACGGGGGACCGCTACGGGAGCACGGGTAGTTTCTGTCTGGTGCGTCGTTCTGTCTCTGTATGGCTGAGACGTCTGACTTCGAGGTTGAGACGTCACATGTGAGGTGGCCCCACCACCGTTTCTTCGCGTTGGTGGGATTTGTGGGTTTGCAGGGGTCGTAGGAATGACAGATTTTCCCGGAGCCATCGTCGATATTCCCGAGATAGTTTGAGCCATCAAGGCGGCAAACCCGCGCGCAAAATTCGGATTCTGGAACAGAGTGGTATAATCAGGCATATTGGGTATTGCCTCTTGACGCCTGGTGGATTGAGCGGCTCTACGGCTATGGCCATCTCGCGATGTGTGACCGCGATGATCTGAATGGGACATGCTTACTGTGACGATGCAGCTGAGGAGCAAAGGATTAAAGGTTAACCTCAAATATTGTATGAGGCCCTCCTTCTAGCGCCAAACTGTTGTCGTGTGATTATTAACAACGATGTTAGAGATGTTTAGCAAGATGTATTAACGTAAGGAATGCATAAAGACACAAGTAGTGGCCCCAGTTCGAGGTGAACCGAGGTGAAAGGTGTTGGGTTTTTTGTATATATATCAAGAATTCAGAGAGCGATCTCCGTACAAGTTTAGGAACCTGTTATTTATAGTACCTTTTTCAACTCGTATGTCGAGGCATACGGTTGTATTTTCGTAAAGTGGCTTTTTCACGGGCGGTTCTGTCAGCGGGGGCCCACTTGAATGATGACATAACTTGTGGTGTTAAAATGAGTCGCGTGTGTGCCGCGTCACCAGCTTTGGGTATAGTGACTTCGGTCGACGGTGACCTCGATTTTCATTTGGGCAGGTCGGTTTGCTCTGTGTTGGGCTTTAATTCGGTCGTAACGTGAACCGAAGTGATCATAGTTCAGACTGACACCGATGATAACTCTCTTAACATGTAAGTTCGGGTGAACGATTGCGGATTACCGGGTTGGATGATGACAATCCCTAAATAAATATGCTAAAAACATTCATCACATGAATTAAAAGCATATAAATTTACCAAATTTTGTGTGTTGATTTAATTTTGGGATTAAATAGATTTAACTATTTATAATAATTTAACTAATTAATTTAGATTTAACCTTTAAATCTAAATTTAAATAAAACAATTTTTTTTAATATTACACAACTCGTGTGTGATCACACGACTCGTGTGAAAAAGCCGCCAGCAACGTTTAATTGTCCATTCGTCCACACGACTCGTGTGGCAACTCACACGACTCGTGTGATGTCACACGACCCGTGTCACACAGTCACACGACTCGTGTGACTATTCATTTATATATATAATTTAACAATTAATCATGTTTATCATATAAACATAAACAAATAAAAATCTGATTTTAAAGATGTAAACCGTGGCTCTGATACCACTGTTGGGTTCGCTATACCGTACGAGGTGAAATGCAGCGGAAATAAAACGAAATAAATAAGCATTTATCTAATAAATACTAAACCCCACGGTTCAAATAGCGATTGTTGTGATCGACATCTTTTAAAATCACGTAAAAGTACGAATTTCGATTTGTAGAGAATTTCAAAAATTACCTTTAATTTTCTTAAAATATCGGCGATGAAAAGGAAATCAATTCCCGGTTATGTGACTATCACCGTCTTCTTACTCCGTAAGGGATCCAAGGGTCTCCCCTCTAATCAAGTCCACCTTTTGAATTCCGACTCCAAGAACAATTTCTTTGCTAGTAGAAATTTTCTGAAATTGAATTGGTATAGGAATAAAAATTAGAAGAGGAGATTTTTATTTTTATTTTTATTTAATTTCTTTTTGCCAAGAATTGAGAACTTATTTCTCTCTTGCAAAAACTCATGGGAGAATAGTATTCTTGTCTAGTAAATCAATATTGAGTGGTGTGTTTTCTTAACCAGAGAATATATCATATATATAATTGAAATACACAACAAACACCTAATTAATATTAATAAATATGATGATGAGGAGTTTTTTTTTACTTGCTACAAGTATATATCATATATAATTGTAATGTAGCATTATTGTGATGTGGGGTGGTTAACAACTTGTTGACATAAGAATCACCTCGTACGTGGGATGAACGACACGTGGACTATGGGAAAGATCAGGAGTCACGCCGAAGAGAGAAAAGAGAAAGCTCCCCGAGTTGTGGAAACTGACCTCGTAAACCGACCTCCTCAGGGGACCGAATTCCTCGGGGGACCGACCTCCTCAGCAAAGGCGACTTAAATGGGGGTTGACGTCGGTACCGACAGGCAGCATTAATGCCTGTCCATCAAACGTCCAAGAGCCACGTGAGAACATCATTGCTGAAGGGCCCACCTGCCGAAAAAGCCTGCGCTCTGTCACACCGTATTAAATGCAGCCGTATCTCCTCCAAAGACGAGCCCACAGTTACTATAAATAGCAGCATTAAACACGATACGAGGATCTTTTTTTCGGCACATTGAATTCAGTATTAATCACCTCGGCTCACCACTCACAAGAGACTTATTGTACTATGAAAAAACCCGACTTCAAGTCCGAAATACCGACTTGAATCTGTTGTCAAATATATCTCGTTTAACTAATAAAATCACTTCATTTTCGCATTATACCCGAAGATTTATATTAAAAAGGTTGATCAAATCCGTTTATCAACAGTTTGGCGCCAGAGGAAGGGCCTCATAAGATATCTTGAGGTCAATCTTTGAATCCAACATCCATCTTTAAAACCGTAGGCACGAAAACGTAAAGCAATGACGCAATTGTTGGTGTTATATACTTAAGCTTTGCTTTAGTGGATATTACACTTGTTATTCCTTGATGAATGAGAATTATGTTTGGTTAAATAAGTTCCACGTTATGTTGTTTTGCATGTAGATAAGTGGGTCGTCATCGGGCGTACCGAAGATCACTATATCAGTTACTTGCGAAACAAGAATCGTTGGTTCACAACCTAGATGGAATTGAACAACCCATCGGAACGGTTGTAGTGTCAACCATACGGATTGTCTTGACCGATTAGTTGCACTAGTACATTTATGTATTGAACAGGATC